CAAAGCCGCTACTGAAGAGCCTTAGAGCCGAAATGAGGATTTGAATAGAAATGTCTTCAGCTGCAGCTCGTCACCAAGTGAAAGGACCTGTTCCAGGAAACGCACTACCCGCAGGAAGAGGACCCCCCTCCATCTGCACCTCTGGAGCTTAAGCGTTAATTCAGGATTAAAAAACCACGTTGCCCGAGGCCCGGCCGAAGGCTGCTGCCGAGCGCTGGGAGAGCCCGCGGCGCTGCCTGCCGAGCGGGGCCGGGCTGGGGCCTCCGGCAGCAGCAGAACCGGGAGAGAAACGCCGAAAACCGGGAACACGCGGGATGGCGCACAAGCTGGCTGAGGCGAGATGTTGCTCTTAAGGGAAAACGCACGTGGTTTGGGTCAAGATGGGCCTCCCTCCGTCATAATGCCTTGACGATTGTAGACTACGTGGGCTTCGCATGGGTAATTTTCTTTTTCTTCTTGCCGTATGACAGCCCAGGAGACAATGTTGTGTATTATGTGCGCATTTCTCTTGCGGTCCGTGCTTCAATCAGTCAGAAGAGCTTTCTTAGCAGAACAGATCCAGTGGGTGACCGCTCCTATTATTCTAGACGTTGTGCAAGGCTATCATTTTGCCTCTCCTCTTTCATGTGCAAACTCGAATGCGCTCTGAAGCACCAGGCGCAGCTCGCTCCTTCAGCGAACCGGGATGAAATAAGACAGCTTTAGCCATCACAGCTTTAGCTCCCAGTGTAGCCAGAGCTCGTGGCGGGGCGCGGGTGGCCTTGTCAAACATGATGCCTCTGCGCTGGCTGTGCCGCTTCCCTCGCAGCAGCGATTGCGGGGCCGTGGGATCTGGGGGCTGCGGATGGGTGAGCTGCTGGGAGCTGGGGCTGCAGCCCCGGGCCGAGCTCACCCCGCAGATGGGGTCTGGCCAGGGCTTTTTCCCCGGCCCCAGCAGGCTCTTGGGTTGGAGTTTGGCCCTGAGAGCGCGTCCCGAGGAGGTGCCTCCTCGTGCTGGCTCCGGGGCCGCTCGCGGGCTCAGGGCAAGGCAAGTGCATACAAATCCCTGGCCCTCCTCCTCCTCCTTTCCGGAGCTTGTTGCACGACCAGAGATTGGTTTCCAGGCAATCCCGTGGTATATCCAGAGCCCTGCAGGGGGTCATGCCAGGATGAACCTGATTGGGAAGAAGATTTATTAAACCACATAAAGGTAACCTGCTTCTTTTGGACGGACGAGAGGCCCTTCACGCAGCAGCTGAGCTGTGGGCTCGCAGGGCAAGGAAGCCTTTGGCGAGGGGTTGCTGCTGAACAGACATGAGTTATAATTTTTTCATCTGGAAGAGCTGCATCTTCCAGCAGAGGATGAGTGCTCGGCCTCTGAATCGGTTCTGTGAACTCTGGAAAATGTTTTGAAAATGTCTCCCTCTTCAAATAAAGAACTCATTAAGTTTTCTGTTCTTCTGAGCCCCTGTGCTTCCCCGTTCCCAGAGGCATAACATTGAGCCTAATCATTAACTGCAACAACTGAGGCCTTTATTTTGGTGTAAAGCTGCATGAAAATAGAAAGTCCCATGTGTATACAGCTGTTACACTTGCATGATTGTAAGAAAAATGGGGGAACCCACAACCGATTTCCAAAGATGCATCTTCCTTTTTCCTCTAATGAGCGTGACGCTTAACTTAATAGTGGAAAGAAAATTTACAAAGTTGGGTATTTTTTTCTTTTTTGTTTGTTTTCATTCGATTGCAAAAGAGCTAGGACTGGCGAAGGCTGAGGCAGGAGCCCTTCCCGTTCCCTGGGGCGCTGAGCGCTTTGCCGAAGATGCAGAGGAACAGTAATAGTCAAGGTACCACCACGAGGTCTTAGCTGGGTCTTTCAAACAGCTATCAGAAAAGGTGTCTCGTCTCCTTCCTGTTTTGAAAAGGAAGAGCATGAAAGCCGTAGCTTGAAACACTCTGTGCTGTTGGGGGCGATCAAAGTCTCGACTGCCAAGATACTTGCCCACACCCAGGGCTATAGCAATACGCTGTGCTAACCACAAACAGCGTTACAGAAATCCCTCTCTGGATGCTATGGACGCGCTGATGTTGCTGCATGTCTCCGAGACTCATTGCGTGATGACAGATCTCCTCTTTCGCTTGACTCATGAGCTGCTCCTCCTGGTTGCTATGAAAGCTAGAAGCACTTTAACACTGCCTGCTGAAAGTATATTTCATAAAAAGAATGAAATCTCAATGTATTTGCCAGATTCACTGATTTGACTCTTCCGCATTAGCAGTTTTTGAGCTCTGCCACTGTGACGTTTATGAAATAGCTTGGTGGTGGCAGGAACAACAACAACAAAATCTGTGTGTATACTTTAAAGCAAACAATCTCCTCTGGTAATCCGGCCTTTAAGGCCTGAAGTAAACAACTGCATTTCAAGGGAACGCTACTAAGAAAAGAAAAGTCTGTTGGGCGTTACTTTTTTTAAAACATGAGACAGAATGTTTTACTGCCTGCAAACTCTTAAGCCCCGGGTTGTTATGGGAAGATAGCAGTTCCATTAATTAGATGATCCAATATTACTTTATTAGTGAATTCTTACACTGGTCCAGCACAGCTTGTACTTGCTTATGGGACATGTGACTATCTTCTTTTGAGCAGCTATAATGAATGTTTTCCAGTGAGTTATTTAATATAATTGCTAGAATTCTCTGATCCGTACATTTGCATTGACGGCGAGTGTTGATTCTGACCTGGTTCGGTGTGTTCATGTTTGCTGATTTGGGGGGGGGCCGAAAAAAGGGTCCCTTCACAGCGTGCAGATTTTTCCACCGTTTCAGACCTTGCTTCCAATCTGCCTCCTGCTTTGTGGATTTAAATCAGCCCTGTCACTCTGTAACGCAGTCTCGCCCTGCGGTTTGCTACGCGGGGCCAGCACAGAGCTGCGCTACTTCACGTCCCGCAGGACTTGTAACGTGCAATAGGCGTGTTTCTCGCAAGGCACCAGCTAGCAGCACGGTTTTCAGGGTGGGAGAGACGCCGGTGCCCACCTGAGCCACAGCTCGGCCCTGGCCGCGCCGCGCCGCTCGTGACTCGTGCGGACGCTCGCTCGCACACCCGCCCGCAGATGTTTTATGTTCCTCTTCCGGGCAAAGCGCTCGGCCAGCTGTAACGCCCGACTGGCATCCTGCTCGCTGAGCTCTCGCCTAGGTTATGCCCCATCCGCCTTCTCTCTGTGGCAAATATATTTACTTGCTGTAAGGAGCCATCTAGTGAGGGTTTACCGCACAGAAAGTCGAACTAACCGCTTCTTCAGGGTTTTGAGGCAACGCAGTAAGAAAACGTGGCCCAGCAGTGTTATTTTTTCTCCCCCGCTCCCCGTGCTCCCGCTGCGCCGCGGCCACAGCTAGAGCAAACGGGTTTGGTAGGATGGGCTGTGCTGGACCGAACGCCTGTGCCTCTGGCCCTCGCTTTTCAAAAGACACCGGGCCCCAGCGAGTGCAGCCTTGCACCCTTGCCCTCGCCCGGACCCACCCGGCGTGGGCACCCACGAAGGGTCGGTCCCTCAGGAGGTGCCCTGCGGGTGGAGAGGGCAGGGAAGGGCACGCCGGGCGGGAGCGGAAGGCCGTGGCGCCGCGTGCCGGCTCAGCTCACGGGGGGCTGAAGAGCGGAGACGGCTGGTGAAGCGGCCCCCCTCACGCGGGCCGGCTCGAAGAGCAACGAAACGAAGCGGATCGAGACGGCTGGATGGGCGCTGAGAGCGCCAGTGCCCTGCGGAAACGGGCGGTTGTTGCTCCTGGAGCATCGAAAGCATGGCTACGCCGCAGGTCTACGTTGCCGTAAACGCTGCAGGCTGCAGAGCAGGGCAGAAGGTGCTGCACGCACCGAGTTAAATACGAAGCACCCAAGTCAGTCAGGAGGATGAGGGCTCTTCTGCAGGCTAGAGGTCAGATTTTGCGCTGGCCCCTGAAACCATATCCGGGGAGCGTGTCTGCGCAGAGGGAGGCTGCAGCGGCAGCGTCGCTTCTTTTGGGTGTGTTCAAGGCTGCAGTGATTTCCAGGATAAACCCCCGGCAGTGGGTGTGCGTCAGGGGGCGCCTGGGACGCTCCCCGGGCGGCGGCAGACACCGCACCC